TTTCCTCATGAGAAGGTAATACCACGTATTACATTATATCAGGTCAGTGACTGTGAGAAGAGACTGCAGAACTTGGCCCGTCTATTTTTAGCTGAAATTCTGTTGCAAGCACAAGTCTGAGTAAAGCTGTAGTTTCATTTGGTAAATGATTTTGCTGTTATGCTTGATTGCTTTTCAATTTTTCAAAACAAATGGATATCTCATTGTAGTTATTTACAGTTATATGCTGTTGCCTAGCTTTTCCATAGAATAACCAAGGTAATAAACAAACTTAAATGCATCATTATGCAAATTAATTTGTTTTACTTTTCTAAAATTACCCTATTGACAAACTATGAAAAATAAATTACTTAAGCTACTGGGTCAGTAGAGTTGTGTATTAACAGCGTAACAGCAACAGTGTGCAGTCTGAGCTTCGTGTCTCTACAGTGAGCACTTAAAAATTAGTGTTGTTTTGTTGATAACACTGCTGCTTTGTCACAATAAAGTATTTTTAATTTATTATTCAAGAATCCAATTATACTGCTTCTGTAGTATTTGAAACCATCTGTTGCCTGCCTGAGTAATCTCCTGCAGGTGCTGGGGTTAAACCCATACACAGATTTCTCTTGCAATACCCAGGAGTCTTTGCTCATAGGAGTTTCAGCTTCTTAAAGCCACCTTCCATGTGTGTATATTTCATATAAAGAATCACAAATATTTAGGAGCCTAGCACTAAGCCCTGTCTCAAAGCAAGTTTGGAACAAGATGGGAGCATGGACATGGTTGCAGCTGGTTCTTGATGGGACATCAGTCAGGTCCAGTACATGGGGGGGGGGGAGGTGTGATGGAGCAAACAGGTGTGATCTCAAAATACTTAAAATTAGAGAAAAAATTTTTTCTTTGTAAACAATTTCTCTAATAGCGATACATGCAGAGTAGAGGTGCACAGAATCTGCTGTACATAAGACCACAGCTTACCTTACTGTTGTGCTATTGGTGATATAACCGGAGTTTGTTTTGAGGGAAGAAAACAAAACGTTACATGATGGATCTGGGTAATGTCCTGCAGGAATATTTTCTGATCCCTGCTGTTGATCAGCTTATGAAGCATGAACTGTATTTATGCTTATTAGTTAGGCAGTTATGTCTGCAAACTTGCCAGTGCTTGTATACCAATTTACTGTTTTTTCATGTCAGTTTTGTGCCAGTTATAAGTACACAACATGCATTGTTACTTATATCCATTGTCTAACTAATAAATAAAACAGTGATCAGAAAAAGGATCATATGAGACACTCCCACCAATCAAACTCAACAAAGCCCTAGGCTACTGATATGTGGGGAAAAGAAGTAAACACCAAAAACTTTAGTATTGCATTATTGCAAACTAACACTTTTTTTTTTTCCCTTTTTTTTTTGGTGTGTGTGTGTGTGCGTTTTGGTTGTTTGGTTTGAGTTTTTTGTTTGGTTGGTTTTTTTTCAAAGTAAGCTATTTTATAAGTTTCAACTATAAGTCTTAGTTTTAAATCTGGAAATGGAAAATTTTTTGAGGATCAGTGTTCCCTACTTTTTTGAAGAATTGTTTTGGGAGTGAAGAAATAGAGTTGGCTGAGCTGTTTTGTGTATTATCTATTTTATTTATTTTATCTTGTAACAAATATTGTTGTCGCTGTATAGTCACAATATAACTGGGCTGTGCTTATTTACTTGTGAGAATTAGGTTTGAGATGATACTGCCTGGTACTAGTTTGTTCTCCTGCTGCTTTTGCCTCTGGGGCTTTAGGGACTTTGGGGGATATAACAGGAATAGCTGCAGCAATCCCTACATGGAAGTCTCCACAGAGATTTATTACTTGTGTTTTGTGTGTGAATTTCTTTTCTACAAGGTTTCTCCATTACTGTAGAGCTTTGCTGCTTGGTTTCTGTTTCCTGTTTATGCACAGTGTAGTTTGCACCATATGGGATTTTTAGAAAAATGCATCTAGAACAGACTGCAGGCCTTAATTTTTTTTATTTGTGTTTAGCTTTTTTAATGTTACGCTTTGAATCTAGATAACTTGCTGTCTTTTGGATTGCTCTTTCTGTTTTCTATAAAAGTTCATGTATTATAGTCATAGGAAGCATGATTAAGATATTGTATTGTTATGAAATCTTACAACTTCAATTTCTTTATTTCTGTAAGTATAAAGGCTCTTGCAGGACAACTTCCTATAAATCCAGTCATTCAAGTATATTAAATCAAATTTGTCTATCCCATGCAGTTTGGCAGTACAGCAATACTCAGGTTAACAATGTTGTTAAACATACTACTTATATTACTTATTTTTTATACAACTTAGCAACTCAATCAGTAATTTAAATACAGTATATTCATGGAAATTTTGAAGCAAGCTTTTTTGATGCATTCTTTTTAATAAAGCCCTTTCTAAAGAAAAAAAAACTACCAAAAAAAATAGTTCAGTGAATGGTAAAATACAGGAGGCCAGGCCTGTTAATCTTTGGTAGTGTTCTTTTCTCTATGATTAAAAAGCCGTGTTTTCAAATCATAAAATCAGAAAATACTTTGTCTTGTAGCTGTCAGCTTTGGCTGAGGCACTTAGTGCATTTCACTAGATTCAGCACCTTCTCCTTGGACATTGGAGAAGGAAAACAGTATTTTTGGCATGAAGACTTAATTCCTGGAAATATATTCTGACAGGTTTCATCCTCCATTAGATTATTTGATTTTTAGCTAACTTGGGTTAGGATTATACTTTTTTTTTGTTCTAAATCATGCTAATAATACTTACATAATATATACTAGTTTTGTTAAGGTTGTAAAAAGGCTTATTTTCTTTCCAAATTCAAAGAGCTATCATATGTTAGAAAAAAAGAAAAATCCAACAAAACTCATACCTTTACTAACAATTTATGAACTACCTACTTAAATTGAAAATCAACACTGAAATGCAGTTGGTGAAACTTCATTCAGGAGCCAAAACTTTTAATTTTTAATGTAACATATTCTACTACCTCAAATGTCTTGGGAAAAGAAGAAATGTAGATTTTAAGTAAGGTATAACAAGAACAAAATACTTGTTTTGACTCTTTCGTGGGAGTTTCGTGGGAGACACTCCGTAGTCTCCTGTGAAATAGTGCATGTCTGCAGAATTTTTTGATTGGAAATGTTAAAATTCTTTTAGCAAATGACAGAAATAGTGACCTTTTTAAATGAGGTTTTACCTCTTCTTTCTGGTCAGCATAGATTATTTTTTGTAGGCCTTTAAGTGTAGCTGTTCGGGTTTAATCATAATCAATGAATGTTCTTTAGTGAATTCGGGTATGTGGTCAATTTGCTACTGACATCAAAGAAAACAGAGATGGGCCCTAATGGATTTTTTTCATTTGCCGCTTCTAACAATAATACAGATGAGTTGATTTTTAACTCCTTACCCAATAATTTGTCTAACTTTCATAGTCAAATTTACAGACTAATTTTACGAATACAGTAGTCAATCCAGAGGAGTCAAGATACAAAAGATAGGTATTAATTTTTTTAGACCCTGATTCAAATTGCTTGAAATCCCAGGAAAACCAAGCTAATGAGTATCATATGGGATCAGAGCTTGCAAGCATGGTCAATATTTGGAGTTATCATCTCATACAATGAATGTACGGGATCTAAAAATTTGAATATACCAGCTCAATGATGAGAATTCATGCTGCTCACAACTGCCATTCTAGGTTCTAGCATTTCTGATGCCTATGTTATTGATTACGTTCAGATCATACTTAATGTTATCCTCACAGTTAAAGGAACTAGTTTGTTTGGTTTTTGTTGGTTTTTTTTGTTTGTTTATGGGGGTTTTTTGTTTTGTTTTTGGTTTTGTTTTGGTTTGGTTTTGGGTTTTTGTTTTGTTTTTGGTTTTTTTGTTTGTTTGTTTGTTTTTGTTTGGTTTTTTAAAAGAAAGTTGAGATTATGGTAATGTCATATAATTCCAGAACTTAATCTGGTCTTCTAAAGAATAAACCCATGAAGATGTTTGTCTGTTCTCATTTACTGACAGTCTTTAATTATGCCCAAAACAAACTGGGACTACAGTGTCCCTGTGCAGGCAACTGAAATACCAGCACTTGGATTGATCAGCCGAGCCTTCTCTCTTCTGTGTCTTTACTTGACTGAGTATCACATTTTACAGGCAATATTTCCCTAATAAGAATTTACAATCATTTACAATTACAATTTACATTACAATTACAATAAATATTCTTGAGACAAGGATAGGGTTTCTCCTATAGAATAACTTTTCCTTGTTGGCAGTTCTGAAATTCCAGTTAAAAATGCCTCAGTCTTCACGTTTTTCATGTCTTGCTATGTAGAAATCTCATTATATAGAACCAAAGCAGTAAAACCAACCGTGTTTAATTCATGAATGTTCTTGCATGAAAATACTGTCAGTACAATTAAAATTACAGTGAAGTCTCTCTCAAATGTATCTCATCTAGTCTGTCCCTCATTTCTGAATGTAAAAAACTTAAAAGCAAATGCTGTGTTGGTGTGATAAACACTGATACTCTTTACTACCCAGGAGCCTGGTCAAATGAGGACCCTGTTGTGCTGCAGGCTGTTCTAACATGTGGGGTAACACATTTTGTGTCTCAAAATGTTCTCAGTCTGACATAACACATCTCTGACTTACCAGCTTTGTTATCAGCTGCTAAACAGGCCTCCTTGTTCAGGGTTACTGCCCTATGAGGAGAGGTGGGCATAAATCTTTGGTAGTGGTTTTTTAGTTATGTCTTTCTTCTAATTGAGGCATAAATGTGGGACTTCGATGAATGTGATTATGTAACAGTAAACCTTGTACTGATTTTCTGAGTGAGGAAAAACAGTTAATAAAGAAGGGGGTAATAACAGAGAAGCAACAGCATACTACTACTGAAAATACTGTATCGGACACTGAGAAAGTCACTTTACTGTCTGAAGAAAGCTTAGATATATGAAATGTATGTTAAGGTTTCTTTATTTTCTTTTGCAGGATCGACGCTTTAATGATGAGATTGACAAACTGACTGGATACAAGACAAAGTCACTCTTGTGCATGCCTATAAGAAACAGTGATGGAGAGATTATTGGTGTTGCCCAAGCAATAAATAAGATTCCAGGAGGTGCCCCTTTTTCTGATGATGATGAAAAAGTAAGATTGCCTTTACTTTTGTATAGCTTTTAATTTTTGTCTGTAATTCAGTAGACTTGTCTGAAGATACTTAATCCAAATAAGTAAATAGCACGGCGTTTGCGTTCATGATGTTTTTTGGACGTGCATGACATAAAATGTACTCTTTGTTTTGTTCTCAATAGGAAACATATATCTGCGCTGTAAATATGTGAGTTCTGGCTGAAACTTCAACTTAACCTTTGTAGACTTTTTTCATGTAGTAGACTTCTATTTTTGAAAACTCTACCTGTAAGAATTAGTTTGGGGGGAAAACTATCACATATTTCTAAACTTGTTGACTTTAAAAATCAACATGTTCTCTTAGTGCTTCCTGTTGGATAAATGCCTGTAGCATGTGCAAAAGAAATTTTATTTTAGAGAAAATTATACAATTTTATGTTAGTCTAAAATATTGTAGACTTGTAAATACCCATGAAAGGACAAAGAGGTTGGGAAGGGGACATTATGTGTGTATATTGAGCAGAATTTGGAGAGTAAAGTGAGCTCAAAAGGCAGGGAAGTAGAAGAAGCTGCAAGGAAGGAACTTGAATTCAAGTCAGTGAGGAAAATAGGAAATGGTGCTGTTGAAGGCATATGCATACAGCTGATCTTGGAGGTGAAACGTGCATGAAGCCAAAACATGACTGGGGAAGAGAATGGTAGAGGGCAGCAAACTGGGGAGGAACAGAAGAGCAACTCTGTCTGCCCGGAAGAGAGAAATGGAGTCTCCTTTAAGCATGTAATAGGGAAATACGATTCTGTGTATTAAAATAGTGTTGAATCTCATTTTTGTGGAAATGTAGTTAGAGGCAGACTTTGCCCCCAAATGTTCTTTATGTTGATTCAAAGGCAGTTAATATTTGATACAGAGCCATTTTTGCTGTATTACATACATGTTGAAATGTCTGTGCTATGACAAAAAGATGTTAAGTAATGCCTGTCGAAGGGGAAAATTCTCTCCCACTAGTCCATCTAAATAAGTGGAGATCATTTTTATAATAAAGATAGCTTGACAGGAATGAAATGCATTATAAAGCTAAACTAACAGCGGACATACAAAATATGGCATAAATCAAACTTGTCATCCATAGAAACCATAGTAATCATATTTTGAATATTTATTGGAGATGCTATTACAATGTTATTTTTACTTTTTATATACCTGCAGCAATACATAATCCTGTCATAGTTTGAAACAATTGTTTGGTGAGAATAACAACTTGAATCTTATTATGACTCTTTATACGAATAATGTCTGTTAACAGAATCGTACTTGGGTTTGTTGTACAGTGGGAGTAATTCAAATTTGATTGCCTTTTTGAAATTGCAGTATGTGAAAGAACCTTTTGCAGTCCAGGTAGGAAAATCTTTGCGAAGTGAAATATTAATAAGTGGGTGCATTAAAGTTGAGAGAGAGTGCAAAGGACTCCAGACGTCTTCCAATAGAAACAGTTACAAAGCGATTTTAATTCTATTTTTATTAGATTATTTACCATCGTACAACTTTGCTACCAAGTGGAAGTCTTCCAGCAGTTATTCTTAGCAACATGTGAGAAGCCAGTCTACTTGCCGTGTACCACTGTTTGTTTTTGGTGCTTTCTCTAAATGCGTTTCAAGGTTATTTTCTGATCTGATGTGCTTGAGCTGCTTACCAACTTCTTGTTAAGCTTCACTTTCCCACAAATCCCTAGCTATTTGGTTCCAGTTTGAAAGACTAGACATCTTTGGATTATAATCTTAAAATACATTCAACAAATAAAGGAGTGGAGGATAAATTAGGCTAACAGTAACAAAGTTTATGGTTTGACAGACAAACAGTACAGAAGACTCAGCTCTCCAGTTTACATAATACCATAATAGAGTGAGCTTTAGGAAACTTTCATAAATGCTAACTAAATATGGTTACTTTTCACAGCAACACTATTAATAACTTTATAAAACCACAAAAGTAATTCCAAGAGCAATACTCATTGCAGTGTCTATTTATATTTGTCATCTTTTGATTAGATGTTTTCTTCTAAACCTGTCAATTAACAAGGAAGAAAGTAATTCCTGTCTGTGGCAGTATCATTTATTTTAGCACCACTTTGAATACAACCTTCTCTTCTGTGAAAAACTTATCCAAACTTTCTTTTCATAAAAATAATTAGCTTTTGATTCCTGTTTCTGTAAGGTGTCTATGTAACTGATTTGGCATAGTGCATTAAATAACTTTAAAAACGACTTTCAATTTTCAGATACTACTTTTTTGGACATTTGAAGTTATCTGGTACTTAAATTGTTTATTTAGAGGTTAAACTTGTGTAACCTTGCTTCTGAAGTGCTTTTGATTCTTAAAAATCTTGGATGTTGAATATTGTTTTATTAGCATACGCTAGAAATCTGGCAGTGTATGCCTCAATGGGTAACCAAATGCAAATTTAACCTTCCCTGAATAGAGTTCTTCTGCACTTCTTTTTGTTAGTACTGTCCTTGTAAAGAGAATTTTGTTTAAAATGCAACCTTTTTCATGGGTACTACATTTTTCATAAATTCAGCTGGGAAAAAACTGTGTACATGTGAATTGTGTATTACGTAATTATTCTAATGTATGAATATTTGATGCCAATACCGAGACTGTGACGTTTTCTTTCACTCAGCGACAACTAAATATTATCTAAAATTGGCAAATTGCTTGTGCTTCATCATCTTTGTATTATTTTTACTAGTCTTTTATAACACTATTATAGTTATAAACCTGTATGTTAGAACTCTTCAAGAATATGTTGAATGGGTTTTGACGTGTAGCTTTTATGGAAAGGTAAATGAGAACATAACCATCACTGTGGCCTGCAATAGATCTCAGATTTAATGAGGACTGGCAGTCCATGTGCTGTTATTTCCAAACCTGTGCTTTTAAGTTTCTTCACTCACTTGAAAACTTAGAAAGCATGATACACCTCTGGGAAGCAAGAGAGCACATGCCTTCAGAACTGCCTAGCAGGATTAGCAAACAGGTCTTTTATCATAATATAAGCAAAAGTGGTTGTGAGGAAAGGGAGCAAGTGAAAACTGGGAAACCCTCTTCAAAATAAGAAAAGAGCTGCCTGAGTATTAAAGTGATTTGTGCAGAAAAGCCTGATGAGTAGCTGGCAAAAGATGTACTTTCAGCTTTATGTTGATGTACAGTTTCTGACAATCAGCAACTTCAGAAAGGCTAGAAAATTAAAATCTAAATTATTTGTCTTCTTCCTCCCCTCCAAGTCCTCTTAAGGAAATGCCAGTATCATTGAAGTCTGGCTCTTGTTTGCAAGTGACTGTCCTTTCTTAGTATTGTGTGAAGCAATTAAAATAATGTGTTGGGTTTTTTTTTACAAAACAACAAGGCTATATTGTATAATGAAATGTCTCTTGTGGGCACTGCTGTCTTGACTCACTAGGAAACAAAAAGAATTATGTTTTCAATTAGAATTAAGTAGCTGCTAGCATAATTTTTATATACTCTTAGTTATTTTCAGGAAGTTAATAGCAAATAAAATATTTAAGATTTGAGGAGGTTTTAATGTTCCCAAGCTGTAACCAAGCTTATATTTTGCAATATCTAAAATGGAGTATTATATTTCAAAGTTTATCTAGTTTTGTTTTTCATGGCAAATTCACAGTTTTCTTTACATCTTTGATAAAGAATATTTTATTTCTCCTGTAAGGGATGCTTCAGCCAATTAATTCTTTAAGTGCAGAATTAGATGACAGAGACACGGGCGTGAAGGAAAGATGTTCAGTGTCACAGTGTGTATTGTCACCCCAACATTAGTGGCTCAGTTGCATAGACTGATTTTGGAGATATCCACTCAAAACAAACAATAGTGGAATACCTTACTTAGAGCCATCACTATTACACTGTGTTGTGTAACTGGTAACTTTTTGGAAAAATAGGCATAACGGAAAAATTTTTGGAAAAATAGGATGATATGCTAGTACATGTATTTTGCAAATGAAGAGACCAGTTAATTTGCCCAGACATTGAGTATAAAGATAAAGCCTCAAACCCTTGAAAAGAACTGTCCACCCTACGTGCATTCCCTGCGCTGTGCTGAAAGAGTCATTTAAGTTTATGTGCTGTTTGTTGGTGAGTCATACTTTTTCCAGGACTGGAGAGAAACTCAGCCTAACCAGAGTTTGACAGTCTGTGGTTTAGATTATTGTGTGCCCTTTAGAGTCTTCTGAAATGCAGTGCCAAAACAAATCTAATACTCCATCAGAGAGGCTTAACGAACAGCAGCAGCAGCTCCACGGTCACTTAAATTGACATCCTGTTTCTCTCAGCCTCTGACGTCCTCCTAGTCTGAATGAAGTGAATCAACTGAGCAGAGAATACCCAGGGCAGCTGTCTTGGACTAAACCCTGGTTGTTTTACTGAAAACCAGTAGTTTGAATGCAGAGAGATCTCTCCTGGGAGGTGGGGAAGGAAGAACTGGATTTGGTTGTCTGTGCTCTGTGGGTAGTTTTATTAAGAGATATATAGATATATTCCAGGATTCATCTGATGTGTATTTGGTTTGTGGGGGCTTGAAGATAGCAGTGTTCTCATGCTCCAGCATCTGAATTTCTTATATTCCTAATAGAAACCCTGTGATTCTAAATTGGCCAATTTAATGTGCTCTTCTTGCTCCATATTACTTAAAGCTTAAATATGTTCTATACCAGATCTACTATAGATTTTGCTATGCAGATTTTCAGGGATTTTGCTGTTCCTGCTAATTCATTTTCTGTGAGTTTTTGCATGATGATCTTAGAGTCACATTGGCAGTAAGGACCATATCTTTATCTTAGGGAAGTAATCAACTGTAAATAAAACTACTAGGAAAGGAAGTGATCCAGAACAAGCAAGCATCTCTGGCTGTTGGAAAAACAATGACTCCAGCTCTGTGAATGTGTGGAATTTAAAAAAAAAAAAAAAAAAGAAGTCACACAAAAATAATTGATGGTTTCACTAGAAA